CCTCTATAAGTCAATAACTTGTTAATTTCCATGCCCTTTTCAACATTATACTTGTAAATGCCTTTCCTTGAACATCATCTTGCACATTATCCGCCCATATGGGCTACTGAAATAAGTGATAGACAAAATAATGGCACTGATTGTAGAGTTGTACATCAGCTTATCATCCTTTCACTTCTTTGCTTTCGCAGAACACTTTTTGTCGATGAGACCGCTACAAATTTCTCACACACCTGAAATTTTGCTCAACCGGGAATGAAAATTGCAATAAATACGGTTCAGCAAGATACAGGCGCGAATGAAATATGCCGGTTAAAGTTTGGAGCACACACACACACACATACAAATATATGCATACAGACATATGTATTTGTATGTACTTGTATAGTACATGGACTAAAGATATATCGGAGCGCAACCGCAACTATTCCTGACGACGTCCGACCAAAAACTGATGTACCCATCATGGCAACTGCGACTAGGTAGCTTCAAAGTCTTCTATATAGCATACGAGTATACATAGATAGTTGCCATTTGATCGACTGTCGGACGTCGCATCGTTCTGGCTATGTAAAGCGTTTTTGCTGCCCCTTTTGCTGGTCGGGAGAGTCGACATTAGAATTAGAGCCAAACAAAAGGAACAACAATGCTTTCAAGCTGGCCAACTGGGTGGGTCAGCGCTGGCGTCGGCGCTTACTGAATTGTTGCAACAGCGGCGCATGCTTTCTAACCGCCACAATTGTTGTTGCTGTTATTGTGGGACGCACCTTACTAATACAAATAGCCACATAGAGACCAACCGACAACCGACAGTCGACAGCTGACAACAGTGAACGCGCCTTTTAATGAGTCGACCCCACCTTGTACATAATACATATACTTACAAACATAAGTAACTATATACCGAAATGATGTACATATGTTCGAGTATACCCGTAGATGCCACGACTTGGGGTCGGGGGTGCTGTCAAAGTCAGAGCATTTGTACATATAATATCGCCGATAATGTACGACTATATGTCTGTATATCCTTTTAATCCTGTCGCATAACATGATATTTTTTGTTGAGCAAAATGGGTTAATGACTTGAATTTAATTTATTTTCTCTTTAATTGAATGTGGTTGGATTTTCTAAATGCTTTGCCATTTATGCTAATATCCTATTATATTTTCTAAGCCAAAAACTTTCTACAGCTTGTGACTTCATGATTTCGAAAAAACAAAAAAAAATGGCACCTGCACAACTCATAAAACAAAACGGAATTCCTTCATTTTATTAATGGTTTGATATTTTCAAATATTTTTGACTACAGTATAGAAAGTGTGAGTAGAAAAGGGGAAACATTCTAATTATTCTAATTAATAGCTAATTAGATTACATAAGTAAAACAGGAATATCTTCGAAGCGATCATTAAAAATCGAATATCCAGTCCAGTCCGCAGAGCCAGATTTCCCGGACATGTTTATAAAAAGATTTTTAGGCCGTAGAGAGCTAGATAGATTTTTTTTAGAGAACTTTTTAAAAATTTAACAAAAACAAATCAATCAATCAATCAGCATTAAGTGTGAGAAAATGGAGTATTACTGAAAGAATGCTTTAATATCGACAAACACTCTTTATATTTGAACTCTAAGACTTCCTTGTATAAACTAGACTTGTACTTTGTAAAACCCAATACACCACCGCCTTTAAACGATTTCCTGCGACTTTTTTATGTACACATATACATACATACAAGTATATGGGATATGTGCCGACAGTCCTTTGCTTCAGAGCACACCTTGTTATAAAGCCAATCCTTAAAAATGTACTGAGCACACACCCAACACACATAGCCACATGGACACACTCCCAAGCAGCGACGTGCCAGTTTTCGCGCCCACAAGTTGCCCTTCTTTCCATAAGTATATCGCAGATAGGTTATGCCATTTGGCCACGCAAGAGCTCCCTTTTTAATACTCGCACATCGGGGATGATCCGCGACCGGTTCATGCTGTCATTAAAAGGGCGCGTTCCATATTAAAACACACCAAAATGTCACTGGATGTGCGGTTCCTACACATATACATAAACATATATATGTAAGTATATATATATATATATGCATATATGGGATTGGCACTTCGGTATAATAACGATGCAAGTTTCCCTTTGGCACTTGCTTACTTGGCTAATTGAAAGTCGTTGTGGTTGAACCCCAAGAAGAACGCTTCCAAGTTGTTCGTTAATCCGTTTTCAATAAACAGGACATTGTTGCAGAAACTACATACTCATCTACACACAATTGTGTGCTGAAACTGATTAAAATAATAAATTTCAATTTAATTTTAATTGAAGAAAAGAAAACAAGACACAATTTAACCATCACTTGGATATTTAACGGCTTTATTGCAATTCATAATAATATCATTTGAAGAACCGTAAATACCTAATTATTCATTTAATTCAGAGTGCACATTGTTTTTAACTATGTTATTTTTTTTTTTTTTTAAATAACTGATTCTAGACAATGAATCCCAAAAATGTTAAGTCCAACAGATGCTTGTAGAACATTGATCTAACAAATTAACACAAAATTAACTTATTTAACGACTAATTGCTGCCAAAATGTTATTAAATATTTTTGCTTATACTAAAAAGAAGATAAACTTGCTAGATATTCCATTTTTTACATCCAAAATAAAGTTCTTCCATAATGCGTTCATTTCGTTTGCTGCCACCATTAAGGATTTTCCAACTTCAATCACGACTGATATACGCACAGCTTTCCTTTATCGTTGCACTCTAAACTCCTAAAATTATTGTTGTTTTTTCATGCAGTTTAAAAAACTTTGAGTCCTTTCCAATTTTCAGATACAGCCATCTCCGGAATTCAGACAGACGGACTTGTGTTGCGTGGGAACTAGGAGAGTCTGCTTACCAAGTTTGATCTATGTGGCCTTAGCCGTTTCCAAAATATAGGCGTTCATCAGAACAGACGGACATGGCTATGTCTTGTCATGTCAATGAAGAATATATACTATAAAAGCACGTTAGGCCTTCTGTCTGCTAAATTTATCACTTTGCATTTAAGTTTACCTATTTACTATACAAAATAAAACATAAATAATACTTGTATTTATAGACATTTTTGGTTAATATGGATAATTGCTTAAGATAACAATTGCAAACAATTATATATAAGATGTTGAGAAATAATGTCAATAATTTAAATTTATTCATTTTCCTTAACAAAATAAAACATACATATATACAAATTTATGAAGCATGGAACTATGTCGACGGACTAATTGTATTATTAAATGAACAAAAGAAGTATGCAGCCACATACTCCTAAAAGTTATAGTTAAGTTCCACATTCTAAATTACTTGTAACATAAAATCATATTACTTAGTATTTATATACATATGTAAAATGCTATTAAAATCAAAGTTAACTCATCCAAAAAATACGAAAAAAAATTATTAATTACTTAAACAAATAGCGCAACAGCACAAATTAATATTATATTAAGGCTTAAATTAATTATAGCTTTTCGAATAAATACGTTTCGTACAAGCAAACAAAAGTTGTGACGAGTAGTTGTTCTTTACATAAATATCATACAATGATTTCGAAAGGAAATAATGCAATTATTTATTTTAAAGGATGTGGTAAGTAAGCATGATCGATTATAAGCACCTATTGCATTTATTGGGTGCACTCCTCCGCGCTTCTCTTACGAAGATCTTAACCGAAGCCTTGTGGGGCATTAATAGCTGATTTATTCAAATTTATTTAAAAAACCAATTTCGCTATCATAAGTACTGAAATCACCTAACCCAAGTTAACTTTTGTTGTCAATATCTAATTAAATAATTATATTATGTAAATTAATCTTTACTTTACTTTTCGTTTCGAAGCCACACTTAGCACAAAAAAGGGTGTGTGCTTTAGAAATGAGACGCTGGGAATTACGTCATCAAGTTGCACTCGCAAGTCGCTCGAATCTAAAAAAAAACAGAGAAAACAAATTCAAATTGGCGTTTTAACAGATTTTAAGCTGCTGCCTACCAGGCGAACATAAATGGGCAGTAGGCAGCTGCATTGCTTATTTATTTACGGCGAAACAGCTGATTTTTGTTTACTTTTCGCAATGCACCGCAAGGATCGCGTTTGTTTACATTTGAAGTGCAGCCAATAGGAGAGCCCCAATTTGTTTACATCTCGCAAAGCACCGCAAATATCGTTTTTGTTTACAGCTTCAGTATGTTTACTTTTGGGTTTGTTTACATTCCTAATTTAAATTCCAGCCGGCTTGTTTACTTGCTGTGCACTTATGCTGGCCTGGTGTATGAATAAACGAAATGAAGCTCATTCATATCCAAAACCGAAAAATTAAAATCCACCCGACCAAGTTGGCCTTTAAACGACGCATAAACCAACTCTATCTACCAGGCGAACATAAATGGGCAGTAGGCAACTGCATTTCTTGGTTATTTAATGAGAAACAGCTGTTTTTTGTTTACTTTCGCAATGCACCGCTAGGATCGCGTTTGTTTACATTTGAAGTGCAGCCAATAGGAGAGCCCCAATTTGTTTACATCTCACAATGCACCGTATTACTTGCATTTTAAGTGCAACCAACTTCAATTTGTTTACTTCAGTTTGTTTACTTTTTGTTTACATTCAGAATTAAAATCCCAGTTACCTTGTTTACTTGCTGTTCACTTATGCTTGCCTAGTATATGAATACATGAAACGTGTGGAAATTAATAGAAAAAAAACGAAAAACGTTGGCCGGCACGGCCTGCGCCTACAAGCCAAAGAAGCTGTGGCGTTCAAAAAATTATTTATTAAATAAGAAATAAATCAGTTGCACTGCAACTGCTTGATAAAAATTGAATTATTGAATATTTACATAAATTATTGAATCTTTTTTTGCTTTACAGGTATTTTAATAGTAGACTAGAATGGAAGGAGAGAGTTGATTCTCAAGTGGTGCTTTATTTAAGATCTTTCGTAAAAGGACTGATATTAAATTGGTTAATATGCATAGTTAGTGGCATCTTACAAAAGACAAGATTACATTAATTTTTCTAATTTTACATGGAACTTAGCAATTATATTGTTGATGTGGATTAGAAATTGTGAAAATAACGAAGATTGGTTTAAATATAATATACTCATGAGGGATACTTTTGCTTGTATAACAAACAAGATTAAAATTAAAATGTTTTCGGAAGACTATAATTTACACGGAATGGAAGGGCAACCGGTTGGAGTCTTTTAAGGCGTTTGTGATGCTCGATGAGATTTATGGGAAGTACGTTTTGGAGAGCTGTTGTTTTCGTATTATAAGTTTTTCCGCGTTTGATAATTAATGTTTGTCGTTTTTTATTGCAAGTATCTAGTGAGGTGTTTATCACTTAGTCTATTAACATTTTGATAGTTGAATCGAACCCCAAGGAAATGGCTGTAATATATAGCCGATGTTAAATATGGGGAGGAAAGGCCTTGCGAGTGAACTGCAAGAGACTTCTAGTTCGCATTAACACTGGGCGTGTTGAGAACGCTGGCCATTGGTTAACTTGTGGCTTATATACACACACATTATGTACAACAATCGATTTATGTGTTAGTGTTGCGGCCAACCCAGTCAGTCGGCAGCGTCGCGACGCTTTTCATTGTACACATAGCCTTTTTTATCTTTTTTTGCCATTAAAATGTAGGTGAGGGTGTGTTGCCTGCTTATAGAAAGCTGACAAGCGCCGACCACTGTCTCTGGGTATCAATGAACATTAAGTTCAGCAGACAAACATACAATATATGGTTAATTTAAATGTGACTATTTAATTAAATTTTCGTTGCCCGCCCAACGTATTGTTTGCACATAATTAAAGCAACTAATTGGGCGTTAGTTTTAAAGGTCAATTAATGGAGGGCAGGGTGCAGCGCAAAAAAAAACAATAAACTTAACAAACTACCTTTAACAAAAATAACGACTATGGCTCTGCCAGCGGCTAGATTTTAGATGCCTCTGAGTTGGGCTCCGAGCCTGATGTTCCTGCTCTTGTGGGTTTTGTTTTCGCTTGTGGTGAGCCCAGCGCCATGGGCAGACGGTCGCCCCAGCGACTGACTCGAGCGCAGGTATAGGCAGGTCTGCAATTAAAAATGATTGTATACGTTATTTTATCAGAGAAAGAGAGAGCAAGGGACTTTTTAATTTTCTGTGGATCCCTTTTCAATGAAATCATTAATAGAAACATACTCAAAAACAAAGTGGGTTGTTTCAACAATAAATTAAAAATTAATTAATAAATTAAGTTAGTTATGTAACTTTAATCTTCAAACAACGAAAATAAAGTAAGGGGCTAAGAGAAAATCTCTGTGAATCTTTCAATATCATTGTTAATCAGGCTTTAACTACGCTTTCCAAATTTCTGTACTGTATTTATAATTACCTGCCATGCTTAGCGGCTGTGAAGATGACTTCCTGCAGGTTGCCGCCTTGGGTGCACAGCCGACAGATTGAGTGTTTGGAACGGACGAGTGTGGGTCGCACGATGCGGGGCCACGGTTGCGTCGCATCTGTGAGTTCGCCCTTCTTCAAAATCACATAACTGTATAACGCAGTTTGACGATCAGCAGTCGAATTACTAGCCAACCGGAGCGGCACAAACGAAATGGGGAAATTGCAGGGCGTACGATCGTCCTGATTGCTTAAACGTGGACAGCGTAGGTCGTGTGGACACTGTAATAATGAATAAATTTAATACATAAATTACAGCAAAAGTAAAATATTCTACGTACCGGCGCTAACGTGTGGCCCGCCGCCTCCTGTTGTTCGGAGCGCAGCAGAAACCGCCGGGCTTCATTCACCAGCTCGCTACCGCGCCGTGTTCCTTCTTCCACAATGATCATGTAACCATCACATTTACGCCACAAATTCAGCAAAGTCTCCCGCCGCTGCTCCAGACTCGGCAGCTCGAAGAGCGTATGTGAGATGAGCACTAGATCGTATTTGGTATCAATGGCGGGCAAAAATTGACGATAGAACACGTTTTTCACCGAGATTTGCTTATTTTCCTGCCCGTCGCACAATATTAGCTCTGACAATTCGTTCATATGCCGCGAACTATCCACATTATAGTATTCATATATGCTGTCCCGCCAGATACTGCTGGCCGCCCAAGTCCCAGTCCCCACGCCAGAGCCAAAATCCAGGAAGCTGCGCGGCTTGAACTCTCCATTCCTTAACGCTAACTCACTGAGGATACGCATTAATACAGCATACTCTTGTGGCCCCCTGGCCACAGCATAGACAATAGCCTCGTAGGGCCCATAGTTAATAGGTTTCCAGGCGTATGTGCGTTGTCCGAGGCGTTTGTTGATTTCCAGCTCGCGTTTGCGTTGCCAGCGCGCGGCTTCCTCCTCGCTGAGTGTGGCCAAGCGCTCTAAGGACATCTTCGCATTTACTTCTTCAACAATCAGTCTGCGCTTATTCTCGATCTCACCAGGTGTAGGCGGGGGATGGCGCGAATTGATATAACGGTTAAGCAGTTGGCTATCGTGCAGCAATTTCTTGACGGGATGATCGCCGACAATGCACTTCAGAGCATTGCTTAGTTGTGTGGGCAGCTCGACATGGGTGGGCTTTATGATACCAGGATGTTTCCGGGGCTTTAACTCTGCTTGTTCCAAATCTGTGAGCACAGTGGGCTCCACCTGCACGCTGATTTTGCTGGTGAAGCGTTGGCACATGTACAGTTTGTGGTTGCAGAGTCGGAGTGACTGACTAAACGAATGCTGCATTTTAAACAAATCTATTTCTTGTTATTTATAATAAACACGCGGATTATGCAAAAGAAGAAAGGGAAATGCCGGTTAGTGCAGGAGTGCATCCCTGGTAAGTCATTCGATAATTTCCTTCGCTTTTGTTTGGGAAGTTTTTCGATTCCGATTAATACCAGCTGCATCCTACAGCTGCCAAATTGCATTTTTATGAAATTAATGGCTTCACAATAAGCCAAAGTATGGACGAATACGAAGCGCAGGTAAGTGTTGGCCGGTAATATCAGTTTAAAAAGCTCATGGACAATTTATTGCAGCTGCTGGTGGTGGAACAGGCGCTGCTCAACACACAAGATGAGGAACAACGAAGCGAACTTTTAGCATTGCGACTAAATTTACAAGAACTTTTGGCGCTGACACGACAGACTTCAGATGAGGCTCCAGCGCCAGTTGACCATCTGGACGATGAGCTGCAACGTTTTCAAAGCGAGCTGCATGAGTTGGAGGAAGCTGCTCCAACGGCAACGCAACTGAACGAGAAAGAGCAGCTCGAAGCTCTTCGTACAAAATATAATGCCATGCTGGGGGAGAAGTGTGCGGCTCCCCATGAACATGGCTGGGGTGCGCTGAGTTATCATAATGCACTCATATGTGGAGTGGATGACGAAGTGATTGTGGACAGCAATGGCGTGCTGGATGTACGATTGCGCGTGCTCTTCACCAATCCCACGCATCGCGAAATGTTGCCATGCAACTATTACCTAGAGGGGGAATGTCGCTTCGATGAGACGCGCTGTCGCTACTCACATGGAGCCCTAGTGCCGGGGGCTGCTATAAGAGAATACAATGCACCCAACTTTCACAGACTAGCACGCAACTGTCCAGTCCTGGCCAAACTACAGGATCGTCTATGGCATCGTGGACGTGTGTTGTGTGTGAACTTTGTGGAGCAGAATTGCCGAGTGCGCCTGGATGGGCAAGAACACAAGGAGCGCGAAAGAGATTTCAAATTTGAAGAGCTTTACCCGCTGACTACTGAGGAGGGGGATGATGACGAACTATCCAGCACTGACAGTGAAGCCAATCATAGTGATGATAATGTTCAAGAGAACGACTCCGATTTGGACGAACTGGAGGCAGCGCGTCAGGCGCGCATGGTAGAACTGAGCTTGTTTACATTCAAGCCTACTGAAAGATTGGGCGCCTGGGAGCAGCACACAAGAGTGAGAGGCACTAAGTAGCTCATACATTATAATGTTTCTTAATGTATTCTCAGGGAATTGGCTCCAAGCTGATGGCTAAAATGGGGTATATTCACGGTACTGGCTTAGGCTCTGATGGACGCGGTATTGTTACGCCGGTAAGCGCACAAATTCTACCACAGGGGCGTTCCTTAGATGCCTGCATGGAACTGCGTGAGGCCGCCAACGGAGACAAGGATTACTTTAGTGTAGAACGGAAACTAAAGCGTGCTGCAAGACGCCAACAGGCTGCCAATGAGAAGGCCTATGCGCGGGCATCGAAACGCACGGATGTGTTTAGTTTTCTCAACGGGGACGTGTTTGGAGGCCAGCAACCAAATCCTTCCAAGAAGCAGGCAACGAACGATTTGCAGCAGCACACAACCAAGACTCTAAATGTGGAAGCTGTACGCGTGGCTGATGACATACGCCGCAAGAAGCGGGACATTTCCAAGGTGCAGCAATCGCTAGAGCGGAATGGCAGCGACGTCCAACTGCAGAAACGTTTGCGCAGTCAACTGCAAATGCAACAACAGGAGCTGGCCACACTTCAGGCGCAGGAACATAGCCTAAGCAGGGAACAACAAACGCGCAAAACCAAGAATAAAATGTTTGAGTTCTGAGTAAGACTACACTTATATTAAGATGACTATCAACTACTTCACAAACACACGAACATCTCAAAGCTACGAACCAAAGTTCTTCGATGTTAAAATCGCGGTCATATACTGCTCCAGCAGCGTCTGTGCCAGATGCGCCCCATGCTCAACAGCCAACACATACGCCGTTTCGCCATTCTCATTTGTTGCACTAAAATCCAAATCTTTAGCCAGCAACTCATTACACGTATGGGGATGATTGCCCGCCGCCGCGTACATCAATGCCGTATTGCCCATAATATCCATATGCGTGATCTTTGCTCCATGCTCGATAAGGAAACGCACAATCTCGTTATGGCCGCCGGCAGCAGCCAACAGCAGAGGGGTCACAAAGTCAGGGGCTTCGCTATTTACATTAGCACCTGCGGCCACAAGCAGTTGAGCCGCCACCAGCTGGCCATAGGAAGCGGCCCAGTGCAGTGGTGTGAATCCAGCCGAATCTTTAAAGTCTATGCTCTGTTGTCGGGTCAGCTCTGCTTTTACCTGTTCCTCAGTGATTTCGCCCTGACCGGCGCGTTCGTGAAACGACAGCGAAACTTCGACGGGACAGAAAGTTGCCTCCGTGTTACCGCGCTGCAGATTGGTAAGCACAGTGGTCTGTGGACGATAGGGTAAAAATGCGCTTTTCCGTTTCGTTGAGTTGGCATCCAGCAAAATGCTAGAGCCATGCAAACTGGAGCCCGGGGTCGTCGACTCATCTTCTTCGGAATTGGTGTTGTTAGGCATAGCGGTTGAAAGAAATGCATTTAGTGATGACACTGTTGAAATTAATGATTATCGAAAGTCGTTGTGCCTGTTTGTATTGTCTTGCAGCTAAACTAAAACATATGCAGATCTGTTTATATAAGAAATATAAAAGCTATACATTTTTTCCAAGACGATTGTTGTAATTAGTTTAAAAACGTTTACCGAAGTATCTTAGTATTTTTTAATCTGAATTACAACTGGTACTGATGGGAAGATTGAAAATACCGTCACTACAAATATGCGTAAGGTAAGGCGCGATATTTAAAACCAATATTAAAGCCAAACAAGCTCCGCCCTATTTGTTTAAAGTAAAGTTGCCTAACAGAAATTTGGGCTATAACCTTTTTATTTTGTATTGCTAGACTCTACCATTCCAAGGTTTTTTTTTACATTTATTGAATGCCAGCAACCAAGAAGAACATGGTTGCCAGATTATGGAAATACCCATGAGGAAAATATACCGATTTATGGTAATTTTTAGGCAAATTTAATTTATAATAACTAAAAGTTATAAATTCGATTCTGCTTGCACTTTAATTATGTAAATATTTACTTAATTAATTACCACAAAATGCGCAGCGATTGTTTCATAACAATACTGCGTAGTTTTGTTTCGATTTATAGTTGAAATTAATCAGCACCTGTTGCCGTTGCGTTCCGTGCAAGCCTGCGTTTACATTTGTGTGTTTTTGCCGTTTTCGCTTATAGATTTTTATTGCGTCGAAAGTTGAGGGTGGATCGACATAAACAGAATACTGCAAATGGGGAATACAAGTTCAAAAGGCGATGCGGACGGCAGTGAACCGCCGCTGGACGGTGGGAAACATAAACAACAGCATAAATCGAATACAAATGTGGCGAATGCGACGCAAAATGGCAATAACAATGGCAACGATGTATTGACAAGGAACGGAGGAGGGGGCGGGGGCGTTAACAGTGACAGCAATAACAGCAGTCTCAAGGTTCAACAACAACAACAAACAATGACACGATCAGCCTCAGGTGCCGATGTAACCGAAAAATATCTGACTCAGTTGGTGCCTGTGGAGAAATTGGCGGAAATATTAAGAGAAACGACGCTAGCAAAATACGGCATTAATGGCATTGTAGCAGACGTTTTTGTTGTAAGTGGAGCAGTAGGTGTACCAGTTGTTAATTATCACCTAATTAATTTTGCTTATTACCAGTCACAAGTTTTTCCACAATACGCCGATTTGGGACAACGTCTTTTTCAACTGATGCATATTTATTCCCGAGCGACAACTAAGCACTTGGGCGCCGTGGCCTTTCGGCAACAATGCGAGCGTTTTCTGGGCATTATGGATGATGCCAAAGTACTTGAGTTGTATATTAAAATGTACGCACAGCAGGATAATCCAGATTTCATAGATAAAACAGGTGTTACTCGCCTACTCCACATATGCTACACAATTGCTATGCAGCACTCTGGCAATGCGGTTCTCTGCACAGCTGTGAGTAGCCTCTATCAATCCTCTTCTCACCTTGCCTTACATTCAATTGTATTTGGTTAGATTAATCGCACCTTTGGATCGGTTACAAAGTCAATATTCCTATGCCACGACAGCCTGAGTCTAGGCTATGTTTGCCGTTGGTTCGAGCAGAACCTCATACGTCTGGTCCTTCTCGTGCACAAGTATTGTGTGCACACACTCTCCACCGCGTATCGCGGCCTGGAGCAACAGTCACAATCGTGCGGCATTGAGTTGCAGACGCCAGTACTGGAGCAACGAAATCCTTTTGCCGCAGATGCCACGGATAGCAGCGGAGCGAACGGTGGTTCTCTTGAGTCACTGATGCCGCTGTCGCAGGCTTGGCTTCTTGCTGGTGCTCTACCACCGCTCTACTCCAAGCCCCAAACCATATCGCCACAGTCGAGCAAATCGAACAATTCAAGTGCCTCGTCTGCAGTGCAAATATTCAAGGATAAACTGTCGATGATGCCCTCGCACTGGACCCTGCTGTACGATTCAAATGAGCATGGTGTGGGCGCCAATCGCTTTCTGCACCATGTGCTGGGCTATCGCGGCCCGACACTTGTGCTGCTGCACACAAACGATGATCAGACGTACTGCATTGCGGCGCCCAGTGAGTGGAAGGAGACGCATTTGTTTGTGGGCGGCGAGGGCTGTTGTGTCATTCAGCTTATGCCCAAGTTTGAGATACTGGAGAAGAAGCCGAACATACTCTATCTTAATACCAGTATACGTGGCTATCCTAAAGGATTGCGCGCTGGCGCTGATCCCCGTAAGCCTATTCTGGCGGTCGATGAGCATTTCGAGAATGTTGACTGCAAAGGCATTGCTGCAAGATTGAATTCCATCGAGGTAAGAACTGCTAGCTTCTCATTTAAAATGCGCTACTTTATACATTTGCTTTATTCATATAGATTTATGATAGCCATTAAGCATTTAACATTTAACACATGGAATATATATATGTATGTATGTGTATATATATATATTTATATATATCAGATATTGTCTATATATATATGCTATAAAAAGACATAGACATATATAAACGACTTAGTTTCCAGTCTAGCATTTAAAAAACAATGCACATTTTCATATTGTAATGCAGCATATTGCAAGCATGACGCGTTGTGACATGCCACATTGCAATTTGGAAACGAGCGACTACCGCTTGAATTTAAAATCAAGTCTAAAATTCTCCATACTAACAAAAAACACAACAACAACTTTCAAGAACAAATTGGTAAAATGGCAATATTCTTACACCACCAGGTCTGGGGCTGCGGCGATAAAACATCACGTGAAGTGCAATTGGATATTAAGAAATGGCAAATAAAGGAAGCGGAACGTCAACGTACAGTCAAACTAACGGCGGCCGATTGGATGGATCATCCGGATCGTTATCTGCTGGAGTTGGGCGGCAGGCAGAATTACAACAATTGAGCCTGTCTGTCACGTGTAGTTCTACAAAATAAAAGCAATGTCTCTGTGTGGTGCCTCTCACGCGGATTTTGAACGCGTTATACGTTTATACTTATTATATGTCATGTATATTATTCATACTATTAGCTGCGCGCGGTTTTTTATGACTGGACTGAATATGTTTTTTGTACCTTGTGCAAGTTGCGATTGATATACGAGCATGTTTCTATCAGCAAACTAATTGTGTTTGATTTGATTTGAAATATCTATGTATGTGTAATTGAATTGGTATTGTATATTTTATAGTCATTGTCGAATGCAATGCCATTTTATTGTTTGTTTATATGTATTCTATCTCTGCATTCCCAAACTGTATTCTTTTATTCGTCTACGTCTACGTCATCATTGTCGTTCTTTAAAAGCCGTCTTTATATATATTTATACTCCTATTTGTGTTTTATCGCTTCAATTGTCAGGTATTTTAGTATATTTCTGTTCCGAAATTAAATGCAAGTATTATTGAAAAGACAACAACAAGAAACACTAATGCTTAAAAATAAAACGCAATTCACAAAACAAAAGATCGTTCACTTCTTTTTTTAACATTGGCAGTTCAAATTGTGTAATTACTTTTGTCATAACTTATCAGTCTCGCTTGCGCTTATGCCGATGAGATAAAAATAAGTTTCATTTATTGGGCCACAACACATGATTATGGGATTTAAAACAGCCACCACGACTGGGGCCAATAAGACAATAAATCTAAATCTGGCTCGAACCGGTTAAAGCCGACTATTGGCTGCGTCATCGAATGGTCCAATTCAACTCAGATATATTAAATATGTGGAGATGAAAGTGGTATTTAAATAAATATGTTACGTCAGCAGAGCAGGGCTGAGTGAATTTTATAGGAATGCACCTATTTTTCATAACATTATAGACGCCTCAAAATTAAGAGAAAAATAGTAGTAATGCCCACTCCTTAAATAACTAATAGACTTTTTAAAATAGCTTTTAGTGATATCAGTTGATGGAAACTTACAAAAATAAGACTATAAATAATAGATGCTACTAATAGTGAGAAAAATAATAATATTAATGACATCCAGTCTTATCCTATTGGGCTACAATTTTTATCAAATTATCGGAAAAATATGTTCTAGAAATGTCGAGAAATTGTCAATTTCTTCTTGTTTCCTGGTAGTTAGCATTGTTTACGTATCAAGTTTCAGTTTTGGACCGTTTTTTTTTTTCAATGGCAGTTAATTTTCCATAAATTCTAGCGTGTTCTCAAGCATGACTACATACGTGTCGAAACTTTTACGGCTTCCGCGCGATTTTTCATTGAATTATTTAGTATTTTGATTTTAATTATAAAACTCAAAATAAAGAATCTAAAAAGTACGTAGTCTTTCTTTTTTACTTCGAATTCAAAATAATACCAATGGTATTCAAATTATGTCTAATTCATATTTCTTCTTTTTACTTAGTTCCATTATCATACTATACCTAGAAAGTAAAAGAGCTTTTTTAAAACTCTGCCTTTTTGACATACTTATAGCTCAAATTTTCTCAATATATACCTATAACTAAATGTTTTTAAGAATCTTATTTAAAACTCTTTTGTGATAAATAATATAAATAAAAAGGGGTTTTAAAATAAAAAGCTGAACTTACTTTTCGGATTAAATGGTTGGTTTTTTATAGCGTACTGCCAGCAGATTCAAATTTTGAATATTACTTAGTTTCAACTTCAGGAATAATAAGGTTATATCAATTCAATGAAGGAATTCCCTATATTGGAAGATAATCATGAGATTAGTAAGAGAAGTTTGCAAGCGGAGACTGAATAATAGCATGCAGTTGTCAAGTCGGTAAATACGAGTTACATATATATTGTAAAAAGTACGCAAATAAACAATTCAAACTACAATAAACCAAAGAAATCAAAAAACATACAAGTATATATGCATAATTCTAATAAAAATTAAAATGGCAAATAAAACAAATGAAAACTTTTTAAAATCGTCATATAACTATATAATATTATTATTATTACGCTTAGTTTCGCATATTACAATAATTCTTGTTTACATATTAAGTTACGCCCTTTTCTGACCGGCAGTCGAAAAATTCACAATCATTTTTATAGGTATGTTCCTCTTCTTCATATTTGTTTTACTATGCAACATATAACTAGACTAACCACTACTAATTGTTAAATGGAAAAGATGTAGACTCTAAAGTTGAATAAGCTTTTTTTTAAATCTATATATATATATATATTTTTTTTTTTTGAGGAAGGGAAGGTTCCTGTTGTAAAATTTGCATATAAAAAAGATTGGAGGCATGTTTCCGTTTCCGAATCTGATTGAATTATGTGAACTCGAATTTGCTAATGGATTTAAATCCCCAGAAACTATTGAGCTATTTCGCTTTTATTTATAGGATCTGGTATTTCACCTTTGAAAGCAAATAATTAATTGTTTGAGTTTGGATATTTGCCAATTTCGATTCCGCATCATTCGAATCGAATTCGGACACGGCAATAGGCCGTTGATTCCTAAAATGTATATAGAAAATCTGTATAACAAGAAGATTCTTTGGAATAATATAATAAAATCTTTCTTCATCGATTTAAACTAAGGCCACTCTTTTTTAGGCGGCTCGATCTGATCGAGCATCAAAAAACACACACAGGATATCTTGAGTATTCTAATTGAATTAAATTAAATGAAAGGAAGTGAACCACTAATTAGGCTGACAAACCAATCAAAACAGAATAATAAATACAAAATATATAGAAATAGAAATGTGAAAATAAAGCGTCGTGGGTTGAGTTCGTCAGTTCGCTGCTTTAAGTGATGTATTCTCTATCTCGACGCGCTGTGGCTCTCACCACAACGAGCCGACGTTGCTGTTGCGGTTCCTCATCATCATCATCATCGTTATCGTCTGCCACATCATCATTGTCATTATCGTCTTCATCGTCGTCGTCATCGCCGCCCGTTGAGTTGGACCATTCGGAGGCAGTTTTATTGCTGCACGTGGCGCTAAACTTCAAACTGCTCGACATGCCAAACGAAACGGACAACGATGCACTGACTGACGAGGCATTTAAATGTTGACTAATATCTAACATTCCAGGCGCCACATCAACACCATCCTCGTTCTCGTCCATGTACCCAATGTCCCCAAAGTCGTTGTCCTCGTCCCCGTCCTGATTGTTTCTGTAACGTTGTCATCTGCCCGCGCCCGCGCCCATCAGCAGTGCATAATCATCATTGGAATCGGGTATGGGCGCCGCAACAGCAGCGGCCGCTGCTCGCGCTTGCAAAAAGCTGCTGCCACTCTGTGGGGGCCCAACACCGCCTAGAAACTGCAGCTGCTGATAATCGCCACCACCCATGCCACCAGCGCCGCCGCCGCCACGCTCGCGCAGATGTTGTGAGTCGCGTTGACGTGCCGCCGCCGCCTTCGATGTGACATTTGTATTTTGAAGAGCGATACCCGTGAAATTGCTGGCGCCTGGCAAGTGCAGTTGTTGTTGTTGAAAGTTGTTATCGCCGCCGCCAATACCGCCAACAGCTTCACCGCCACCTGCTAAGGGAAATCGAGAGGGAGTTCGTGCTTCAGTAACTTTGTTCAGTTGTTGACTGCGTTCTTCAATGCACACATTGACAGGCACAATTAAACGACTTGAAGTGGCGCCATAGGTGCTATACTTTCCCTGCCCCTGCCCCTGTCCCCTATTACCTGCTTGCGAGGACGATGTCGGCAATTGTTGATCCAGTCTCTTGTTAATTAAATTATCTGATTCGTTGCTCAGGCGACGCGGACCTCGTGCCAATGGTTGATAGGCGCTCCGCCCATGAAACCGCCGACTTATCGAGCTGCTAAACACGCCAAAATGTTCGGTCACATCCTCCTGCATATCAGAAATGTCCATCATCGACAGGAAGGCCCGACACCAACTATGATTGGGGTTGTTCCAATACTGTGGTGAATTAATGTGGAATGGATGATGTGGAAAGCTATAGATATGCGCAATCGCAGCGAGAAACATTTCAATGCAAATCAGAAAGTTCTGTGGAAGAGAAGCCAAACATTTCATTAATTCCGGTTTGGTAAGCGGCACACAAACGTAAAGCAGAAATTATATTCGATGCAGAAAATGCAATCTTAAAATTGGGATCGTGGAGTATAGACTTACTTGCAACAAATTTGCATCACCCAGTTGCTGGCCAAACATTTTCTCGATGACGCCATAGTAGACCAACATGTTGAGAAGAACGCCTTGACTGAAATGTGATAGATAATTTGATGTTTAATAAATTAAAATGACTGCTACAATTGCACTTACAAGAAGGAAAAGAACACAACAGCCTTGATGCAAAGGAATTTTGGTAAAGGCTTCATGGGCTTTAAGTCTTCTTTGTTGGCGCGATAGAAGAGCACCAGGCAGTACATGGCAACAAACTGTGAGATGTTGTTGATCACAATGATGTAAGGGAAGGCCACATTGCCGGCGAATTCACCCTCGCCGTAGACGCCGCACAGCTCGCAAATGCTGTGCATATGCCCGTGTAAGCAAATATTGTGGTTAGATAAACAAACAAATGCCACGTCTATACTTACACAGATATGAAGGTCGTTATTGGCCGCACCACCGTATACTGTAAAATGCCGTGCTTGCAATTGTGTATGAACTCTCGGCCCATTACCCAGGGACGCATGCAGCAGAGGGGAAAAAAGTGATAAACCTGTGGCTTGTACTCCATGGTCGCCTCCAGGTCCATGCCGAGATTCAAATAGTGCAGCAGATAAACCATAAAATTGTATATGACGTAGGCTTCGTAACATTCGCGCAACGAATCCACGTATATCGAATGCGCCGGAAAGAATAGTCCAATCCACTGTAAGATTATGCAAACTCATATTTTATGCGGTTTCCATTTCAGTTTTGCATGACCCACTTACCGCATTCAAAGCATAGATCGGCACCATCCACAAGATACGTATGATATGCTTTTGTAATATAGGCTTCGTAAAATGAATGACGTGTTGTATGATATGCCATATCGACACGGGCACCGCCGAAAGCACGAATAGGCCGCCAATCAGTATCAGTTGGTCGCGTCTCGAGAAGCCATCCTTAACCGAGTTGACTATCAAAAGTGGCACGACAATGATTGCGAATATCACATATGTGAGAATTAGCAGTGGACGTATCCAAATCCTCCACTCCTCGCAAAAGCGACGGACGTTTAGGCTGCACATTTCGGGGGCGTGCGTAGCAGGCTCTCAGACGTGAAAATAATTAGCTTATTGTCAGCTCCCACCGGCACCTTTATGTGTTGAATTTGCTGTCGTCACAAGACCCACAAAAATCAAAACAGCTGCAGTGACCCACCGATGTTGTGTTGTTTTCCGCCGCCCCCCTTATTGTTTTATTTGCCTTTTCTGTGCTGTTGTAGTGGCGCTTACATGGTATGGCCTCTACACCTCAACTGTTTTGGTTTGATTTGCACACACATACTCACATAGACGGATGGCTTAAGGCTATTTCAATAGTCGTTTCGGGTAACTTCCAAATAGTTAATTTTGCGTTTTTGTTATAACGGAGTGCGATTACACTGAATCAGATACGGCAACACAGCCACTTTCTTTATGTTTCCGACGAAGGGAAATTTGAACAAGCTGGCAAGGTCGTTATTATACGGACAGCGCAAATTATTCAGCACTGTTTTCAACATGGTTGTATTCCATTGGGAAATTTCTTTTTTGTTGTTTATTTGTATTTAATGAGGGCCTACAGTGAACGATATCATAATGTAATAAAACCAATGTACACAGTTATATAATAAAAATGGAGATAGCAATTAATTGTTGTGGTGGTGCAAAAATAGAATCGCGTCAATTTGACTGCCAGTTAATAGAAAACGCTTGTTGAAGTCATATATCTGCTCTCTAAGCAGTTTTTTGAATTCCAGTGTCACCACGCCGGGCACACCCTGGTAGAGTGTGGCCAAGTCGCGCAGGGTGCCATAGATGTGACCCATTTTGCTCCACCATTCAATGGGGGACTCGTCAAGTTGCACGTGAACTTCGTTGCGGTAGCGCTTCAAGTCACTTTCCACTGTGCTTTCCGAATCCCGTCTGCGTGGCGTATTTATTTCCGCCACATCAAATAGCAGCTCTAGTTCTAAAGAATGCATTCTAAATGAGTATTTAAACGAGGGATATTTGTATGATGGCTACTCACTTGATTTTTTGGAGTTGCTGCCAACGCTGGGTTTTGTATTGGGCTCTGTCTTAATGGTGACAATGGGCGTGGTGGTTACTGAGGTGGTTGCTGCCACTTCAGTGGGTTCGTTGCTGTGGCTACCGCCTCCGCCTCCAAATATGCTGTTGTATTTTTGCGTCAAGACACGCACGCATCGATCCAGGTTGTCTATAGTGGTCAGGCGATGGAAGCGCGGATCGAGCAGAGCTGCACTGGTCAACGTGTCGTTTGATATGACATGTGCCTGCAGCACACCAGCAATGGTGCGTTTAATATTCATCATGAGTGGATCATCTTGTTCCACAATACCCAGTTTCTTGATAATTATCTTTGATGTTATTGGCGAAAGCATACTACACAGTGGTATATCCTCGCCTCGCAATGTGTCCAAAGCAATCACCAGCGCGCTGAGCGCCTCTGTCACTGTCTTTGCCAATATGACCAATTGGTCCATATCTTCAGACCAAGATATGGACTCGGTAAAGAATTTCAATAACTCATACAAGGTCCATGGGAAGTGCTCGTTATAGGCAGGCAACTCGGCTACCTTCGAGTTAATCTCTGTGGAGTGCCGCTGTATTATATCCCTGACCTGCTCCACTAGCGCGCTCACCTCTTCCAGTTCAAAAACGCGACGCAAGGACTTGTCAATAACTGCCACATAGCACATTACGATGGGAATGTCTGCAAAAAATCAGCAATTATTGAGATGTATATAAACCCAAATTCTAATACGTACTCTTCTCCTTTAAATAGGCATGCAGCACATCCTCGTCCTCAAAGTTAACAATAGCCAGAGTACAGTTCGGCATGTAGAAGTCCGTGAGAAGATCATCAAACATCATATAGTCAGTATATTCAACAGTAGCATATAAACAGCTCTTCACACTTTGAGTCTCTTCGTGCAAATAGTTGTGATAAATGGTGAGGAATCGTCGGTGCTCCACATTAGTCCACAACTCAAAGGCCAACGAGAAGGGCTTCTCTGCAGTATAGTCGCGCGTAAAATCATTTATCTCAAGAAACTTAGATGCATGCATTTCGCTGATCAAGGATTCGATCTGTAAAATATCATAAAGAAAAGTCTTAATTTGGGATATACATATACATATTTTAAAGTTGACTGATAATAATATAAATAATGTACAAAATTACAACATTTATTTTTCTAAATCAATAAATAAAAATTCAATAAATATATAATTAAATATATGAGCATAGATGAAATGTATACTAGTATTTGGATTTAGTTTACAACGAAAGCCTTAAGTATTGTGGAATTATTTGGCCACCCACTTATCATTTAACTTATAGATTATATTTAGTTGTAGGGTAAAACAGTGAACTTATACACACATATATACAATGATAAGGAAATATAATGAAGGGCGCTTACCTTCTGCGGCAAGGGCATGGAAACCGAGTTCCCCATGGCCATCCGTATGAACTCGCTTATGCCTACGTCATAGAGCGTCTCCACATTCTTTAAGTCCTTGATTACAATGTCGGCCATAGCTTCTGGCAAATTGGCTATATTAGCCGGCGTATAGCTGCGCAAGAGTGTGCTTACATTGCCTCCCTCAGTCTTGATGGGAACGCGCGTGTAGTGTATGGCGGATGCCGGTGCTGTACTTTTGCGCTTGCGGCCGTACTTAATTTCGCGTGGGTCAATGGTAATGGAGCGCATCTCCTCCTCGACCAAATTTTCGGCGTCGTCATAGGTTAGCGGTACCATTGTCTCGTACAGCATTGTTTGGGACGAACCGTCCTCTTCAGCTTGCATGGCCGCAGTGGCCATTGCAGCTTCGTCCATTTCATCTTCGGAAGCATTGTCGTGGTTGCGACTGCTCAAGAATTCCAACTTAACTCGGCGCGACGACACATTGCGCTTCGATAATGGAGGATGGTTATTGCTGCGCGGCGTTTTCCGCGGCGGCACATGAATGTCGTTCTCTTGGCATAAATTCTTAAACAGCTCCTTGTGTCGATGTTGCAAATGGGCGCGTAAGTTGGTTGTATTGCCATGGTTGGTCAAGACCTTGTGGCATTTGATGCATACAACGTTCTGCTTGGTGATTACCTCGTCATTGTCATTAGAGGGAAAGCCGAAATAGCGCCAATATACGCTTTTCATTTTGGGCGTGTAGAGTTTGGAAAAATTGAGCTGCGAGACATCCTCAAATTTGAGCTCTGCTACTGGGGAAGCGCCCACGTCCTCGCTCATGATGGTTCCTTATTTTTATTCAGTTGCGATATATTCTTATTCCAATGAGAAAAATAAGCGCGCAATTTCTCGATTATAGATAGTCACCAATAACCAATAAATAGTTTTTTATCTGAATCAGAAAGTACAGTTCAGAGTTGCCACGCGACAACGTAGTCAATCGATGGTGACAAATCCACGGGGTAAATGCGAGAGAGGGGCGCGAGATATGATATGATATATTTTTGATCAACTCGGAACAATCAATACAGCTGAATTTAATGATTTCTTAACGTCGAGCAAAGCGTAATGTTAATTGCGAGACAGTTTTCTTAACACTGATTGCATCACCAATCGATAGCTGGGGAAATTGTATGTGTATTATAGAAGGGAATTTTCAATGGGAAATTTTGACTTCATGATGAGACGTGAAGTTGGCTGCGATTTCCTTTTTGATTCGTTGTTGGGAAGAAGAGGTGCGTTGTGATTTTGCGGTGCCAAAAATTAATAAATTTCGCACACTTTGACTGCCAAAATAGTTTAAATAATAGCGCGAAATATGCCGACAACGAGTGGCTTTCGATTTTTATTGAAACATGTCTAAAAACGATACAACTATGTGTTCAAAAAGAGCGAACTCTGCCAGCCACGTGGTGCTGCTACGGCAGCTGCAGCAGCTACTATTTGGTTATATGGTGTATTGATATTTGCGTTCTCCTTGCAGCCAATCTAAACAACCAAGATGGGTAAGGGAAATAATATGATTCCGAACCAGCACTACCACAAGTGGTGGCAGCGGCATGTGCGCACCTGGTTCAACCAACCTGCGCGTAAATACCGCAGACACCAGAACCGCATCAAGAAGGCTAAGGCCGTGTTCCCACGCCCAGCCAGCGGTGCCCTGCGCCCTGTGGTTCGTTGCCCTACCATCCGCTATCACACAAAATTGCGTGCCGGTCGTGGCTTCACTTTGGAGGAACTGAAGGTAAGAACGCTTTGCATTTACAAACATAAATATGTGACCATTAATGCTAAATCCAATGTATTCAGGGTGCTGGTTTGACCTATGGTTTCGCAAAGACCATTGGCATTGCCGTGGATCGTCGTCGCAAGAACAAGTCCCTGGAGTCCCGCCAGCGTAACATTCAGCGTTTGAAGGAATACAGAAGCAAACTGATTCTGTTCCCACTCAACGAGAAGAAGATCCGCAAGGGTGAATCTACCGTCGAGGAATGCAAATTGGCTACCCAGCTTAGGGGTACCGTCATGCCCATCAAGAACGAGAAACCAGTCATTGAGTTCCGTGAGATCACATCCGATGAGAAGAAGTTCAAGGCGTTCGCTACTCTCCGCAAGGTGCGTTAAATGCTTCGACTATTGATGCAAATATCAACTATATTATTTTTATTTGTTTGCAGGCTCGCACTGATGCTCGTTTGGTTGGCATTCGCGCTAAGCGCGCTAAGGAAGCTGCCGAAAATGAGGAGGTTGCCAAGATTGACGCCAAGAAGGCCAAGAAGTAAATTGCAAATAGACCAGATAGTTATGTCTACAACAACCACAATAAAATATTAGTTTTTTCACAAACATGAAAGATTTGAAAATTGTTTTACTGATCATATTTTTATTGTATTTTACAAAACGGAATACGTATATAATTATAATAACTATGAAACAGGAACAGAAACATTCTTAAGAATATAAATAAACAACTTGGTAATGGTTGGGAATGGATTTTTTTAAATATCTCCTCTAGTGACAATCGAATGGTTAGAGACCGAATTATCGCACGCGGTATTTCTGCTATCGGTACATAAAAGACAAACGAACATTTAAGTTGATGTTACAAGTTTATGGCGCCAATTGTTTATCTCGTGGCGAGTGGAAGTTTGTAATTTAATAAATGAAATTTAGTGCTAAGTATAATGCATATATAATTACAAAAGCTTCGACATTGCTTTATATTGGGATACGATATAAATGGAATTGCTAAAGAAGTAGAAGGACTTTTTGGATGCATCTGCTGGACTATAACGCATGTATTTATTTAGAAGGTCTCATGTACAATATGTTACGACTACGCTTTTCCTCTTGGGCAACGCCGGCTGGCTCATCGGAATTCTCCTTGGGTGTGTGGTTCCAACCCTATGCCCGCGTGAGTCGTACAATAACCGATAACACGGTTCCTCCATCGATAAACAAAATGCCATCACTACAATAAATTCGACGCGCAATATACAAAACCGAATTCAAAACGTAAACAAACCAAAAAAACTAACATAAACTAAAAGAAACGTACTGCGACAAGAAAACAAATAAACGGATAACTCCCTCAAGCCATCCGTACGAATACGGGTGACTGTAAAAGGAGATAATATACGTGCGGACGGACAGGGATTGGAGGCATCGGACAACTGTATGGGATTTAGCTGTTGTTATCCCAGGCGTACCCTCCCTGCCTGTATCCAAAGCCAAAATGTTTCTTGGATACCCTATTTTTGGACCGTGCTTGGGCTATTCCATGGCACAGGTGAGTCTCCCGCCCCTACTGATGCTGCTTTAATGCATCATCACCAACGGTGCGACCATTAAAATTAACAATTAATTTTCAGTTTATGTGGCTACAAACATACATATATTTCAGTGTGATTGAGTGTGAGTGAAAACAATGTAAATATGGAACAATAATAATTTATATAAAAACAAAATAAAGAAGGCTTGCCAACGGCCAATGCGGTTCTTTATGTGCGCCAACATGCAAGTATGCTTATGGCAAATAAATATGTATATAGATATATGTGTATGTGTATGAGAAAAATATGCGCGGTACAAAAATTTATAGAAAAATGTCTAACCAAATCCTAACGAGAGCTCTCGACGGTCATGGGCGCAATAGAAATATAAGAATACATATAAAACACTGCGCGCTACTGCAATTGGCAATCTTCATACAATATAAGTGTGTATAAGAGTGTGAACTTTTTTTTTTTTGAATTAAATAGAGCGCCAAGCTCTGTTTAGGTGCCACTTTCTGCCTTGTTTTGGTTTTTATTATATCTGTATATATTCTTTCTTTTGTATTATCTTCCTTTTTTTTCTTTTGCAGAAACTTCAATGGGCGGCGTGTGGGACCCTGCAGGCGCAGCCCATACAAACGACACGACGTAAGGCGCGCGGGATCTCTGCCTGATGTCGCTGCTCAACCGCGAACAATAGGCACGGCGCGTGGCCAAGGAACGGACTCACCGGCTTGTCTATCCTCCGCTGCTGATGGCGCAGACGGACGTGTCTGCTGTTGCGTTGTGGTGGCGCCGCTATTGCTGCTGCCACTTCTTGGGTGGGCGCCTTTGCTCCGGCTGCCACTGTCGTTGCTGCTGCTGCCGTTGAAAACGCTGGTGCTGGATCTGCTGCTGTCGTTGAAGACGCTGGTGCTGGATCTGCTGCTGTCGCTGTTGCTCCTGCTACGATGCAGCTCGTGCTGCTACTTATGACGGCCGCTGCAGCTGCTGTGTATGGTTCCACCGCTGTCCGAAAACTTGGCGATATGCCGGAAAATCTTCGAACGGCTTCTGGTTCTTCCTTTCCTTTTTCAGGTTTCAGCACGGCCTCCAGTTCACCAAACGAAAACACTGCCTCGTGGGTCTGCACCGTCGCCCCAAAAACAGGAATGGCGTGTTGCGGCTTGCCTTTTATAGGCCGGATGTCGTATGCCTGCGGATTTTTACGTCCTTGCGCATCCGTTCATCACGGCCTTGACTTTTCCCCACTTTGAGGTGCCATCGGGACACAACCCTGCGCCTGCGTGGCTGCAGTTGCCACCATGGTGCCTCGCTCGGTACCGCTAGATGGCGCTGCAGTACCTTTATAAATTCTTGGCGCCTTCCGTAGCGCTGCCACCTTTTATTCTTCGTGACCAGCCCGATGCAACACCACCGCAAATATCCAAGTGGGCGGACGCTCGTGCCCCGAAGTGATGTTTGCGCGCATCAAACGGCTGGTGTTGTTGGAGTCCTCTGCTTCGAGTCCGGCGTTGCCTCGGATGACTACTACCGCGGCGCCCAACGTAGGCCACACCCACTCTTGATCTTCAGGTGAGTAGCTCTGGCTGCATCCTCCTCCCTATATTCATCCATTCTGCCTTAGGACAGGCGTCACACTCGGATATCCTTTGCGTGGAATACCCCCAGCAAGTTCCCTTGCAAATCTTCCAGCTCGTATGCGTTGGTGCCGATGGATTTCCTTACGCGAGCTTTTAGAAATTTCCGCGCGAATTTCGCATTGAACGCGCGGCTGAAATCACTCAATGCAAAGTTTCGCCGGTATACCTCCTGGCCGGGCGCTAGTCTTAGCCGCCGCGCACGCCGGTTATAGCGAACGCTACTGCGCTCATACGCCGCATGCAATTGTGCCTGGATTTTCTGTTGCAACAGGGATTGCCTGTCTGCTGTACTCAACGCTGCGAATTCGTGCTCGTCTAAGGACCTTAATTTCCTCGCCAATCGGTACTGCGAACCGTGCAACATCATATGTCGGCCGAATAGTGCGAAAAAAGGCGTTACTCCAGTCGCAGAATGCACGCTGTTTCTGATGGCCACTTCAATTTCCGGAAGGTGTAGGTCCCACTCGCGGTGATCCTGCCCCAGATACGCCCGTATCGCGGACAGTATAGCCCGGTTCACCCTTTCGGACGCGTTGCTTTGCGGCGAATACACCGGTGTCCGCAGATGCTTAACACCGTAGCCCTCCATCATGTCTATAAACTGCTTGGACGTGAATTGCTTACCATTATCGGAGTGTATGACTTCTGGAACGCCGAACGTATGGAACACTTCGTTCACCAAGAAGTCGACGACGCTCCGAGTGGTGGCCTCTCGCATCGCCTTCAGGAACGTGAATTTGGTGAAGTGATCTACCACTATGAATATGAAGGCGTGCCCCTTCCTTGATCGCGGATACTTGCCCAAGAAGTCTATGTATAACTTCTGGAACGGCCTCTCCGTGACGACTTCTGCACCAATTCCCACCTGCATCCCGTAATTGGTGGCTTTCGTCTCTTTGCAGACCACGCATTTTCGGACCACTTCAGCAACGTCTTTGGCCATTCCCGGCCAATAAAACTGCCGCCGCAACCAGGACAACGTCTTCAACACTCCTCCATGCGTTGACGCTTCGGTATGGGCCTTCGATATAAGCATGCCGGTTAGCGCACGCGGAACCCACAGTTTCCACACACTGCCTTCGAGCTGATCTTCTAGCCGATTGAAGGATGTCTTTTTGTAGATCACCCCGTTTTCAATTTTTAAATCAGGTAATTTATCTTTTTGACTTTGAATTTCGCTAATCAGCTCCCGATACTCCTCTGATTCGAATTCTGCGGTTTCTATACCCAACAGGTCTCCTGGGAAGAAATCCAACTCCTCTAAAGTTTCGGCTTCGGTGCTTCTGGACAGCATATCCGCCACGATGTTGTCGGAGCCCTTCCGGTGCGTGATTTCAAAGTCGAAGCCCTGGAGCAGCAACGACCAACGAGCCAATCGCCCGGACAAATCCTTCATGGACATCAGCCATTTCAAACTGGCGTGATCGGTTATGACTGTGAATGGCATCATTTCGATGTATGGCCGGAATTTTTGTATCGCCAATACCGCCGCCAAGCACTCCTTCTCGGTCACCGAGTAGTTCACCTGGTGCTTGTTCATCTTGGCAGAAAAGAACGCAATGGGCCTCTCGTTTCCCTGCAAATCCACCTGGAATAATACGGCTCCGACGCCAATATGGGATGCGTCACATTGTACAAAAAATGGGCGTGAAAAATCCGCGTGTACCAGCACTGGCGCAGATGTGAGCGCCTTCTTCAACGCCTCAAATGCTGCAATCGCTTCGCCACCGAGTGAGAACCTACCTCCCGATCGCTTTTTCAAAGCCTCAGTGAGCGGAGCCGCTAAGGTGGCAAAATCTTTAATAAATCGCCTGTACCACCCGGCGGTTCCTAAGAAAGCTCGAACCTCCTTTACGGACCTTGGCACCTGTATGCGCTGTATCGCCTGCACCCGTTCTGGATCTGTTCGAAGCACGCCGCCGCCCACGATAAATCCCAGGTATTTCAACGTTTTAAAGCAAAACTTCGACTTTTGTAACCCTATCGTCAGGTTTGCCTTCTTGAGGCATTCAGCTACTCTCTTCAGGTACTCCAAGTGCGTATCAAAATCAGCCGCGAAGACTACCAAATCGTCTAGATATACTTTAACGTTGGACCTCAGTTCATTCGGTATGACCTTGTCCATCAGCCGGCACAACCTTTGAGCGGCGTTACACAACCCGAAAGGCATCATGCGGAATTGGTACAACGGTCGCCCTGGTACCGTAAACGCAGTGCACCTTCTACTGGACTCCTCCAACTCCACCTGCCAAAACGCAAATTTCAGGTCCACACTGGAAATATAATATGTCTGATCGATTCCAGATAGGATTCCCTCCACGCATGGTAGCGGATAGGCATCTTTGACTGTCAGTTTGTTCAACTTGCGGGCATCGAGGCAAAAGCGGTTCTTGCCCGGCCGTCGCACTATGGTGGTGCGGTTACTCCACGGACTATCGCTTACCTCGATGACGCCAAGCGCCAGCATGCTGTCCACCTCATCCCACACAATCTTCTGCATAGCGGGTGATAGAGGGTAGTGCCTGTCTTTCACTGGCTCTGCTCCGCTGACCAATTCAATTCGGTGAGTCTCCAAAGTAGTCTTGCCTAATCCCGCTTCTTCGAAGGTTAAAAATTCTTTTTTTACTTGTTCCAATTGCAGCTTTTGTTGTTCATTCAATTTCCACATATCTGGTTCAGGCCTTACTTCATCCTGGTCCGCATAATGCGCCACTCTATCAGCTAGCAATTCATCGAGGACAAGTCTTTTAACGGCTGGCTTTTCTGGAGGAATTAATAGTGGTGCCAAGTTAAACAGCCGCCAAAAGTCGATACCGAAATACGCGTTCTGTTCGAGTGATGGGCATACGTAAAATTCCACTTCTTTGGCCTCTTCTCGATACACCACTGGTAAACGCACTCGTCCAATTACGGCTCTGTCTTCACCGCCTGCTGTTTTAATTATCGAAATGTAATTTCTGGGCACCATGCCAATCTCTTTCAGCAGTTCCAGACTGCCCTTGCCTAGCACGCTTACCGAGGCCCCGGTATCCAGCAAACCGCGTAGCACATGGCCTCGTACCAGTACTTCGGCAAAAATCCTCGGATCTGCTGCTCCTTCGCGTCGCACTGCCTCGGCTACCAGCTTCTTCGTCTGCCTTCTCCCTCGGAATCGTGCTCGGGCCTTTTTAACTTTGGCTGTCACCATCCTCATCCCATCTAACTGATGTTGGGCAAAAATTCTATTACGCGCCTCCAGATATGCCCGCATCTTTTCCTCGTACGGTAAAAATTTCAACTTATTACTATATGGGGTATTTTTCTTATGAAATTCTTCTTTCAGGACCGCTCCGCTGTCATCCTGGTGGGCACCTGTGTCGAGCGCGATTCGCCCACTTGCTCCGCACTCCGACGGCCGTTTCCCGTGCAATCGGGACAGGTTGGACTATAGGTGTCGGGCCTGCCACACCTATAACAGAAGACGCGCCTTTCCGGTGACATGCAGTCGCGGAAACTATGGCCGGCTTGTCTGCAGTTCCAGCAAACTAACGCCCGTTGCGGACGCCTTGCCAAACGCGCCTCTTCAACTACGCCGAAATCCGCCGACTCCTCGCCGTTAGTGTCGTCGACCAACTCCTCCACTGCCGGTGGACGGTTTCCGCCACTAAAACGTGTGCCGCTGCGAGTTGGGAACACGCCTTCCCGCCGCTGGACCATAGCTTCCACCTCTACGCATTCGTCACGTAAGTGGTCTACCGTGTACACGCGCATCGCATACACATAACGAGCTAGTTCTATTTTTAATCCTTTTTTTATATATTTCATCATCTCGTTTTCAGATGGTGCTGTGTGGAGACGCGACGCCAGTTTCCTCATGGCATGGAAGTACTCCTCAACGCTTTCGCTTGCCTTCTGCCGTCTTTCGCGCAATTGACGCATGCGCTCGAATTCATCGGCGGCGCCTTTAAAACGGGACAGCATGCTCCGTTTTAGTTCTGGCCAGCTGTCTGCCCGGTGGTCCCTGACGTACTGCCAGTACCACTCGCGAGCGTGCCCAGTTACTAACAGATGGAAACTGTTTAATACTTCGGACCATGCGCAGCGACACTGCCTCTGAAGGAACTCGACCTGGAAAACGAAGTCTTCAACAGCCATTTTTTCCTTATCGCCGCTGAAAACGATGTCCCACTTTTCGACGCGGCACCATCCGGATCTGCCATTCGCCGCTACATACGGAGGAGGCGGGTCCAGCTGACCACTCCCATCGTAACGCCTGTTGCCTCTTCGACGGGCCGACTGTGCTGCGGGATTTTGCCAATTTCGAGCTGTGTTGCTGCTATTGCCAGCTCCACTGGAGGAATTAGCTGCCGCTGGCCTTGCTACTGGATGCGAAGTTCCTCTTGCTGGTGTTAGAGGTTCAGCCTGGTATTGATGCGGCCGTTTTGGCACCGCACCCCGATTCTGGCTGACTGGCGGTTGCCATGCTCCATTTGCAGCTGAATCGCCGCTATTCGCTCGCGGTTGCAAAACTTCTTTCAACGCGCCCATCAAGTCTTGAAACCCCATTCGGATTTCCTCCTGCAACACTTTGTTGATACCCTCTTTTTGCGATTGGCGGTATGTTTCGTTCGCCTGGGCCACTGCTGCTTCTACCACCGACGCGACTACTGGCTCGGCGTCCCAGTGTACTGCTGGTGCTATGGACGGCCTCGGAGGAGTGTGCATGAGGCCACCGGTGGAAAAACCTACGGCTCCTTCTAGGTGTTCCTCCAGCACTGGATCATCATTTCTGGCAGTTCTCGACCTTGTGTTATACGCCCGCGCAGAATCCTTCTCCATTTCAATCCAAAAAAAATACGCTCTGTTTTTTTTATAATATTTATTTATATTTTGGATTATGAATTTGTTCAGCTTTCAAGCAGGCCCCGAAGAAAAAATCGTATTAATTGGATAATTGTATATATGTATGTATTCCAAACAATGAAAATGTTTGCAAACGCCCAAAACAACAAAAACAAATGGGCAAGAAAATATATGTACGCTGAATATGTATGATGGATAAATAAATAAATAAATAGGTACAACAATAAATAGATAAATATGTGAATTGGAATAAATAAATATGAATATAGTAGTAAAAATAAAAAAAACAAATCTTTAAATAAATTCACGTCCAACTTTGCACGGAAACCAAAAAAAAATATATATACGCTCAACCACAAGACAAATGTAACATATGTATATGCACCAAACGTAACCAAACAGACTTAATAAAATGTAAGCAATAAACAAACAAATTTTCTTTTAAACTTCTGTATATAGGGGCTGAGACTCACACTCCGCCGGAACCCAAACACGGCTCCTCTAATATCTACGCCTGTTACAGCTGCCCTACGCCACAATCCTGCTATATTTGTTCGCTGCTACATTTATCGCCTTGACGGCGATGAACGACAGCCAAC